TATTGCAATAATAAAAAGTTCAATAATAATCTTAATTGTTTGCATATCAAACATAAGAGCTGCAAAAATATGAAGCTAAAATGAATACAATTGAAAGAATAAACACACACATACATAATTTAGTTGGAGACTTCGACAACTCTCATAATTGACAAAAGCACTAGACAACAGGAAGTTGTTTAAAAGACATGAAAAATATTATCACACAATGTCTATAAAACTGGCATTTATAGAACATTCAACTACAGCAAGATATATGTCTTATGCAATTTGTAACATATGTGGCTTAAACCAAGGTGTTCATGGACTTCAATAATTGAAAGGTTTCTACCCATGATTGGGCTTCCCTGGTGGCTTAGTGGTAAAGAATCTGTCTGCAATGCAGGAGACCTGGTTTGATCCCTGGTGGGGATCCCTGGAGAAGGAAATGCCAACCCACTCAAATACTCTTGCCTGGGAAATCCCATGGACAGAGGAGCCTGGATGGGCTACATACAGTGCATGGGGTCACAAGAGTCAGACACTACTTAGCAACTAAACCACCACTACCCATGATATGAAGTAGTGCAATTTTATGCCCTGAAAAAGTTAAGCCAATTGCTCAAGTTTGGGAAAAAGGATTAAAAAGAAAAGGAAAAAGTTAAAAAGAGAAAAAAATGGATGATGAGTCAAAATGCTCTCATACGTACTTAACAAAATTCTACAAAGAAAAGGGAAACAAAAATATGATCAAGTGAAAAATACAATAAAACTTCTCAGGACAGAAGTAAATTAGTACCCAGATGCAAATCCATGGCTGATTCAAGTCAATGTATGGCAAAAACCACTACAATATTGTAAAGTAATTAGCCTCCAACTAATAAAAATAAATGAAAAAAATATATATATATACATAAAATGGACAAAAAAAATTTCAAAATAACCTAAAGAAAAAAGTGCTTTAATATAACAAGCATGTTGGATGATAAAAGATACCATGGGAGGATAAAAAGATCATAAATGTTTCCATGAGAAATAAGCTATTAAGATGTTGAATCCTGTCTTCAATATAGGAAGTCAAAAGATAATGCCTAATTTTGAAGCATCACTATGAACAAAGCTAGTGGAGGAGATGGAATTCCAGTTGAACTACTTCAAATCCTAAAACATTATGCTGTGAAAGTGCTGCACTCAATATGCCAGCAAATTTGAAAAAATCAGCAGTGGCCACAGGGCTGGAAATGGTCAGTTTTCATTTCAGTGCCAAAGAAAAGCAATGCCAAAGAATGACCAAATTACCACACAGTTGCACTCATCTCACATGCTAGCAGAGTAATGCTCAAACTTCTCCAAGCTAGGCTTCAACAGTACATGAACAGTGAACTTCCAGATGTTCAAGCTGGATTTAGAAAAGGCAGAGGAATCAGAGATCAAATTGGCAACATCCATTGAATCATAGAAAAAGCAACAGTTTCAGAAAAACATCTACTTCTACTTTATTGACTATGCCAAAGCCTTCAACTGTGTGGATCACAAGAGTGGAAAACTTCAAGAGATGGGAATACCAGACCACCTGACCTGCCTCCTGAGAAATCTGTATGCAGATTAAGAAGCAACAGAACTGGACATGGAACAACAAACTGGTTCCAAATTGGGAAAGCAGTATGTCAAGACTGTATATTATCACCCTGCTTATATAACTTATATGCAGAGTATGTCATGAGAAATGCTGGGCTGGATGAATCACAAGATGAAATCAAGATTGTCAGGAGAAATATCAATAACCTCAGATATGCAGATGACACCACCCTTATGGCAGAAAGTGAAGAAGAACTAAAGAGTCTCTTGATGAAAGTGAAAGAGGAGAGTGAAAAAGCTGGCTTAAAACTCAACATTCAGAAAACTAACATCATGGCATCTGATCCCATCTCTTCATAGCAAATAGAAGGGAAACAATGGAAACAGTGACAGACTTTATTTTGGGGGGCTCAAAAATCATTGTAGATGGTGACTACAGCCATGAAACTAAAAGACAGTTGTTCCTTGGAAGAAAAGTTATGACCAACCTAGACAGCATATTAAAAAGCAGAGACATTACTTTGCAAACAAAGGTCTGTCTAGTCTAGACTATGGTTTTTCCAGTAGTCATGTATGGATGTGAGAGTTGGACTATAAAGAAAGATGAGCACAGAAGAATTGATGCTTTTGAACTGTGGTGTTGGAGAAGACTCGTGAGAGTCCCTTGGAGAGCAAGGAGATCCAACCAGTCCATCCTAAAGGATATCAGTCCTGAATATTCATTGGAAGGACTGATACTGAAGCTGAAACTCCAATACTTTGGCGATCTGCTTTAAGAGCTGACTCATTTGAAAAGACCCTGATCCTGGAAAAGATTGAAGGCAGGAGGAAAAGGGGATGGCAGAGGATGAGATGGTTGGATGGCATCACCGACTCAATGTACACGAGTTTGAGTAAACTCTGGGAGTTGGTGTTTGAATGGAGGTCTGGAGTGCTGCAGTCCACGGGGTTGCAGAGAATAGGACACGACTGCGTGACTGAACTGAACTGAAATTTGAATATTCAAGGAATTTATTGAGTATATTACTCAGAAATATAGAGCAAAAGAATGAACAAACTATTTCTACACATATAAACATGAATAACTATCAAAGACATAGTTTTGAGCAAATATGTAGTAGACACACACATTAAGAACACTATTATTTACAGAAAGCTCAAAGAAAGATCAAATTAACCAGTGAGTAAGTGTCAAGATAGGGGGAGGAAAGATTTGTGAGTCCTCCGATGTGTTGATAAGATTTTATTTTTTGACCTCTGTGATACTTATACCTATGTATGACATGGTCAAAATCAATTGTGCTATACACTTATGACTTGTGCAATGTTCTCTATACATGATGCACTTCAATAAAACTTTTATTTAAAAGGAAATATACACTAAATTATAACCCAGGAGGAAAAGTTTAAAAACAAAAGGAAGAGGATTCAAGAAGTGTAGATTAGACAAAGAACTGATTTAGTTGTTTACAGTAGTCATGTAAAACCATTTTTATTTGTAATAAGAATATTTGCTTTATTTGATAAGATACAATTTTGAAAGACAAAGTAAGTAGTAGAGTTGTATGCTTCAACTTGTATACATCTTTTAACAAGCTATTCAAAATAGTTCTGAAATGATGTATAAAGAACAAAGCAAAACAATAATACATAGTTAATGGTTACGTGTATTTGTAACAATAGTATAAAATATGCAAAAACTAGTGAAAGAGTCATTTCCTAGGCAGGTTGATAAGAAGTCTAGGGGTCCCCAAGAAGAGTGGTCTGGAATACTCAAGGAAGAAGAAAGGACAAACTTTTTACTTTTTTTTTTTCTTTACATTCCTTAGGATTATAGAATAATGTATCCTGCCTGAGGACAGTCTCTGGATTAAATCTTCTGGCTAATTCCGTTATCTTCAGTTCAGTCGCTCAGTCATGTCTGACTCTTTGCAACCCCATGAATCACAGCACGCCAGGCCTCCCTGTCCATCACCAATTCCCGGAGTTTACTCAAACTCACATCCATCGAGTCGGTGATGCCATCCAGCCATCTCATCCTCTGTCGTCCCCTTCTCCTCCTGCCCCCAATCCCTCCCAGAATCAGGGTCTTTTCCAATGAGTCAACTCTTCACAGGAGGTGGCCAAAGTATTGGAGTTTCAGCTTCAGCATCAGTCCTTCCAATGAACACCCAGGACTGATCTCCTTTAGGATGGATTGTTGGATTTCCTTGCAGTCCAAGGGACTCTCAAGAATCTTCTCCAACACCATAGTTCAAAAACATCAATTTTTTGGTGCTCAGCTTTCTTCACAGTCCAACTCTCACATCCATACATGACTACTGGAAAAACCATAGCCTTGACCAGACAGACCTTTGTTGGCAAAGTAATATCTTTGCTTTTTAATATGCTATCTGGGTTGGTCATAACTTTCCTTCCAAGGAGTAAGCGTCTTTTAATTTCATGGCTTCAATCACCATCTGCAGTGATTTTGCAGCCACCCCCCCCCCCCCCGCCAAAAAAAAATAAAATCTGACACTGTTTCCACTGTCTCATCTATTTGCTATGAAGAGATGGGACCAGATGCCATGATCTTAGTTTTCTGAATGTTGAGCTTTAAGCCAACTTTTTCACTCTCCTCTTTCACTTTCTGCTATAAGGGTCATGACATCTGCATATCTGAGGTTACTGATACTTTTCCCAGCAATCTGTTATCTTAAAACATAAATTATGGGAGTAGGTCTGGTCTTTACAAGGACATATCTTGCCTGAGGACAGTCTTTGGATTAAACCTTCTGGCTAATTCCATTATTTTAAACTGTAAATTAAAGGAGTAGGTCTGGTGAGGTCTTTACAAACTCCAGGCATTCTTTGGATTCATTGGAGAGTATATAACTCCATTGTTAACACTAGCAAGGGGCTACTCTTTCTAACCCCCTCTGATGTCTATGTCAGAAGCTTTCTCTATCTCCTTTATACTTTAATAAAACTTTATTACACAAAAGCTCTGAGCGATCCAGCCTTGTCTCTGGCCCCAGATTGAATTCTTCTCCTCCAGAGGCCAAGAACCCCAGCGTCTTTGCATGATTCAGCAACCACCTTTCACTAGTAAATATGAAGTCATGCCTTCTGTTATTTCCTGAATTGGAAGGAGACATAACAGAAGGCTTAAACTTTTCCCTAAGGTTTTATGTCCTTAGGAAATCTGAATCAATGCTATTATCTTTTATGCCAGGCTAGTGAAGAGTTATAATATCATTTGTATAGTATCTAATCATATCATTTCTCTATGTTTGAAATTTATAATTAAATAAACTGAGATTAAAATCATGTTGTCCGAACAAAATAATAATAAATACAGATATAGAGAAAAAAATCAAGTTTACTTCACTATGTAAAATATTTATAAAACACAATATAAAGTTTAGAAAAAAATAGTCACAGAGAGGACACAAATTACATACCACAGCAACATCTGAATCATAGCTTCTATTGCATATTGTGCCAGGAAATGTTGCTCCCACATATTTAGGCTGTTCCCTGTAACTACATCATTATAATGTTGCCTTTTTATTAGCATGGTCATTCAGAACGATTCACAAGCTTATTTATTAAGTTAAATCTCCCATAAAATTTAAAATAAGTTTTCAAACATACTATTTTTAATCTGAATAATACCTAATATACTGTACAAAATGCTCAAATTTTTGAAAACTATAATTCACCTTAATACCAATTTTTTTTTTCTTAACCTAACTCCCTGACTTGATATCATTTTCTTATCTCAAATTCTCCAGTTTCTCTTATTCAGTAATTCATTGTTTTGGTCACTAAAAATTAAGAGGAATTTTTAATTTATGGAAAGTAATTCTTGCCATCTAAATATAAGCAGTTTTTAAAATTATAGACAGGCATTTCTTCAGTCATGTCCTACTCTTTGCAACCCCATAGGCTGTAGCCCACCAGGCTCCTCTGTCCCTGGAATTCTCCACAAGAATACTGGAGTGGGGAGCCATTCCCTTATCCAAAGGTCTTCCCAACTCAGGGATCAAACCTGAGCCTCCCACATGCAGGCAAATTCTTACCATCTGAGCCACCAGGGAAGCCCTAACCATATTACCAAAAACCTAAATGCTTCTTTATCGAACAGTAGACATGAAATGCATTCACAAATGGTAGGTAGTATTTATTAACTGAATAGTATCAGTTTTACTTTATTAATAAGTTGGGGTTTGTATGTATTCTGTCATATAGCTGATATTATAAAAGCTCATGAAAGACAGATTTTTCTCTTATAAATTATATTCCAAAATATTTTGTCATGTAAGTGATTCAGATTGTTTTTATTTTTATCATATTTCCTACTACACTATCACCTCGATGGCAACAGCTATATTTTACTTAACATTTTCAAAGGGGCCTACAGAAAACTGAACAACACTGTAAATGTATTATATTATAAAATTAATGAAATTATTTATGTATATCTCTTTGTTAATATAGAATATTGTGCTTACATAAGTAAGAATGTTACATCATGGGGCTGAAGGATAAGATAGTCCTGTTTCCATGCCAAAAATCGTTGTAATAAATCATCAGCATCTCCAATGGTGGAAATTTGGTTTTTATCTGACCACAATTCCAAGGAGGACAATATCACAGTCAATTTGAACTGACTAAACATCTAAAAATAAGATTTATAGTTTATATCTTCAAATAAAATAAATCTACATCAAAACAGTACATAAAACATAAAGTTTACTTGATTACTTTGGGTATTAACCCAAATAAAGGACTTGAAGTCATTAATTTGCCATGATATAATGAAAAGGTTTTCTATGACTTTTCATAAATTTATACACGCAAAAATGTTAAAACTTACTGCATTGACAAGGCCAATAATCTGGATAATTTTCTGTGTTACAGCCATCATTTCTGATCCCATATAATCATACTGAAAAAGAAATTTTTTATGACTCTCTTCAAAATGTAAGTGACAGCAATTTTTCTTGTATGATGAATATCTCTTGATTATAGCAAGCAGGAAAACCATAGGATTTGTGAGATGAATTAAAGTACACTAACATAAAGATAATAATATTTACCATAATGAAAACAACAATAAAAAAATCACACTTAAGCATTCAAAATAGACTCTCACTTGTTATATATTTTATTCTTTTATTTATTTTTATTTTTTATATTTTTCCATTTATTTTGATTAGTTGGAGGCTAATTACTTTACAATATTGTAGTGGTTTTTGCCATACATTGACATGAATCAGCAATGGATTTACATGTGTTCCCCATCCTGAACCCCTCTCCCACCTCCCTCCCCATCCCATCCTTCGGGGTCGTCCCAGTGCACCAGCCCTGAGCACTTGTCTCATGCATTCAACCTGGACTGGCGATCTGTTTCACACTTGATAATATACATGTTTCAATGCTGATCCACGTACCTATGGACACCTTATCTTCAACAAAGAAGGCAAGAAGATACAATGGAAAAAAGACAACCTCTTTAACAAGTGGTGCTGGGAAAACTGGTCAACCAGTTGTAAAAGAATGAAACTAGAACACTCTCTAACACCATACACAAAAATAAACTCAAAATGGATTAAAGATCTAAATGTAAGACCAGAAACTATAAAATTCCTAGAGGAGAACATAGGCAAAACACTCTCTGACATAAATCACAGCAAGATCCTCTATGACCCACCTCCCAGAATATTGGAAATAAAAGCAAAAATAAACAAATGGGACCTAATTAAACTTAAAAGCTTTTGCACAGCAAAGGAAACTATAAGCAAGGTGAAAAGACAGCCTTCAGAATGGGAGAAAATAATAGCAAATGAAGAAACAGACAAAGGATTAATCTCAAAGATATACAAGCAACTCCTGCAGCTCAATTCCAGAAAAATAAATGACCCAATCAAAAAATGGGCCAAAGAACTAAACAGACATTTCTCCAAAGAAGACATACAGATGGCTAACAAACACATGAAAAGATGCTCAACATTACTCATTATCAGAGAAATGCAAGTCAAAACCACAATGAGGTACCATTACACACCAGTCAGAATGGCTGCTATCCAAAATTCTACAAGCAGTAAATGCTGGAGAGGGTGTAGAGAAAAGGGAACCCTCTTGCACTGTTGGTAGGAATGCAAACTAGTACAGCCGCTAATGGATAACAGTGTGGAGATTCCTTAAAAAACTGGAAATAGAACTGCCATATGACCCAGCAATCCCACTCCTGGGCACACACACCGAGGAAACCAGATCTGAAAGAGACAGGTGTACCCCAATATTCTTCACAGCACTGTTTATAATAGCCAGGACATGGAAGCAACCTAGATGCCCATCAGCAGACGAATGGATAAGAAAGCTGTGGTACATATACACCATGGAATATTACTCAGCCATTAAAAAGAATACATTTGAATCAGTTCTAAGGAGATGGATGAAACTGGAGCTCATTATACAGAGTGAAGTAAACCAGAAAGATAAACACCAATACAGTATACTAACACATATATATGGAATTTAGAAAGATGGTAACGATAACCCTATATGCAAGACAGAAAAAGAGACACAGATGTATAGAACAAACTTTTGGACTCTGTGGGAGAAGGCGAGGGTGGGATGTTTTGAGAGAACAGCATCAAAATATGTATATTATCAAGGGTGAAACAGATCACCAGCCCAGGTTGGATGCACGAGACAAGTGCTCGGGGCTGGTTTCCTGGGAAGACCCAGAGGGTTGGGTGGGGAGGGAGGTGGGAGGGGGAATCAGATGGGGAATACATGTAAATCCATGGCTGATTCATGTCAATGTATGGCAAAAACCAGTACAATATTGTAAAATAATTAGCCTCCAACTTATAAAAATAAATGGGAAAAAAATAAAAACACTGTCCAGCAAAAACAATTGAAATCATCGAGAGGTACTAAAATAACTTCACAGATCTGTCTGTATTATAAAGGGATTTCTTGAAGTAGATATTTTCTAAAACAGAAGAAATCAGTCACAGTATTTCCCATTGCATGCTTAGTAATTAAAGAAGAGTAAATAAATATTAAAAATAATCAACATGCTCAAATAAATATTTAGGAAGACAGAAATCTTAATGATGTAAAGTGAAAATTATGTGGCATGAATGATTCAAAAAGGTTTGATAGAGAACAAAACGAAATAGGGTAAACGTGAAAAGAAAGAAAACATGTTTTCTTTGAAACTGATAAATATATTTTTAAAAACTATAGTCAATTCGCAATATTATATCAGCCTCAGGTGTACACCATGGTGATTCAATATTTTCATAGATTATACTCCATTTAAAGTTGAAAAAGACTATCAATTCCAATCACTTATGAGAAGATGGAAGAGCAAACTGCTACAGTCACTTTTGAAAATTATCAATATCCTCTAAAAGTAATTTACACTAACCCAATGAAATAACATTTTCACTCTTATCTAGATATTCAAAAGACACTATGTTTACCAAATGGATATTTTCCCAAAAAAGACATGCAAGTGACCAACAGGTACATAAAAGGTATTCAACATTACTAACCATCAGGGAAATGAAAACAAAATCCACAGTGAGAATTCACCTCACACCGGTCAGATGGCTATCATCAAAAAAACAGAACAAAACAAAAGAAAAAAACAAGAGCTTACATATGCCTAAGAAATCTGTCTGCAGGTCAAGAAGCAACAATTAGAACCAGACATGGAACAACAGACTGTTTCCAAATTGGGAAAGGAGTACGTCAAGGCTGTATATTGTCACCCTGCTTATTTAACTTAAATGCAAAGTACATCATGTGAAATGCTGGGCTGGATGAAGCATAAGCTGGAATCAAGATTTCCGGGAGAAATACCAATAAACTCAGATATGCAGATGACACCACCCTTATGGCAGAAAGTGAAGAGGAACTAAATAGCCTCTTGATGAAAGTGAAAGAGGAAAGTGAAAAAGTTGGCTTAAAATTCAACATTCAAAAAACTAAAATCATGGCACCCAGTCCCATCACTTCATGGCAAATAGACAGGGAAACAATTGAAACAGTGACAGACTTTATTTTCTTTCCAAAATCATTGCAGATGGTGACTGTAGCCCTGAAATTAAAAGACGCTTGCTCCTTGGAAGAAAAGCTATGACCAACCTAGTTTGCATATTAAAAAGCTGACATTACTTTGCCAACAAATGTCCATCTAGTCAAAGCTATGGTTTTTCCAGTAGTCATATATGGATGTGAGAGTTGGACTATAAAGAACGCTAAACACTGAAGAATTGATGCTTCTGAACTGTGGTATTAGAGAAGACACTTGAGAGTCCCTTGGACTGCAAGGTGATCCAACCAGTCAATCCTAAAGGAAATCAGTCCTGAATATGCATTGGAAGGAGTGATACTGAAGGTGAAGCACCAGCATTTTTGCTACCTGATGTGATGAACTGACTTATTGGAAAAGGCCCTGATGCTGGGAAAGATTGAAGGCAGGAGGAGATAGGGGATGACAGAGGATGAGATGGTTGGATGGCATCACCAACTCAATGGACATGAGTTTGAGCAAGCTCCGGGAGTTGGTGATGGACAGGTAAGCCTTGCAGGCTGCAGTCCATGGGGTCACAAAGAGTTGGACACGACTGAGATTGATTTGAACTGACAAATGCTGTTGAGCATGTTGAGAAAAGAAAACCCTTGTACACTGGGATTGTAAATTGGTGCACCATTATGGAAAACAATATAACAGTTCCTTAAAAAGTTAAAAAAGGAACTACCATATGAATGACAATCCCACTTCTTAGTAGAGAGCCTAAGAAAGTGAAATCAGTATCTCATAGAAATACCTGTATGCCCATGTTTGAAACGTTATTCACCATAGCCTAGATATGAAAACAACTTTAAGTGTCCATCAACAGATGAAAGAACAGAAAAAAGTGGTATATATGTACAATGGGAAGAAGGCCTGGTAATCCACTCCAGTGTTCTTGCCTGGAGTAGCCTATGGACAGAGGAGCCTGGTGGGCTACAATCCATAAGGTTGCAAAGAGTCGAGCACAACTAAAGCGACTTAGTACAGTACATGTACAGTGGCATAGTATTCAGTCACAAAAAGGAGGAAATTCTTTCGTTTGCAACAACATGATAAATCTGGAGGGCATTGTGCTAAGTGAAATAAGGCAAACCAAGAAGGACAGAAACTGTGTTGTGGCACGGTATCACTAACATGTAGAATCAAAAAAAAAAAAGTCTAATTTCATAGAAACAAAGAACAGAATTTTGGTTGCCAGAGGAAGTAATGGAGAAATGTAGGCCAAAGGGTACAAACTTTTCAGTTATAGGTTCTGAGTATCTAATGCTGCACATGTGACTACAGTTAATGATATGGTATTGTACACTTGACAGTTAATGAGTTCTCTTAAGTGTTCTAACCACACACACACACACACACACACACACACACACACGGAACAAAGTGTTAATGCCGTGAGGCAGCGAATGTATTAATTATCTTGGTAAACAATCTGCAAAGTACCTGGTCATCAAATCTTCACATTGCACAATTTAGCCATATACAATCTTATTTATCAATTATTCCTCAAAAAATTGGAAAAAATATTAAGTCAGTTGGTCAGATGGCAAATGTCTATCACAGTTCAAAGAAAGCGCTGTGACCAGAGAGGGTGCAGCAGGTTAAGGAGCGGGCAAGGCAGTTAAGAAGTGTGGGCAGAGATCCTGGCCTGATCTGCAGATGAGAGGGCGGGTAGATAGTATCGTGCATCCTAGGCTAGTTTGGGATCCCGATTATATCCATTTCTTGTTTGTTGTTTAGTCACTCAGTCCTGTCTGACTCTTCTGTGGCCCTGTGGTCTGTAGTCTTCCAGGCTCCTCTGTCCATGGGATTTTCCAGCCAAGATTATTGGAGTGGGCTGCCATTTCCTTCTCCAGGGGATCTTCCTGACTCAGGGATCCAATCCACGTCTCCTGCATTGCAGGTGGATTCTTTACCACTGAGCCATGGGGGAAGCCTCCTAACCGCATCCAAGGCACACCTAAAATTAAATCTTTCTATTTGGAAATAATCAGAAAATTACATTATGTCTTGAAGGAAGTTTTTCATAATGTTTAAAGAGAGAAGGGAGATAAACCACAAGGTCCCACTTTATAGCACAGGGAACTGTATTTAATGTCCTGTGATAAACCATAATGGAAAAGAATACTAAAAAGGAATGTTTATATGTATATAACTGATTCACTTTGCTGTACAGAGGATATTGGCACAACATTGTAAATCAATTATACTTCAATAAAAAATAAATTAATTAAAAATAAAATTAAAAAAAGTCTGGACTCTGAAAGATAAATTGCTCCAAATTGGCAGTTCCATTTTTAATTTTTCTATAAACATTTAGCAAAAAAAGTGTAGCTACCTTTCCATGATCATTAGAAATATTAATTTTGAAACCTATAAGAGAGTGAACAATATAAAAAATTACCATAAATTGATTTCATAAACTTAATACTCAGAAAAGATTAAACATTTTGGCTGATGTTCTCTAAGTGACAGCAATAAAACATTAAGCTTTAAGAAAGGAAAAAAAAAATGGGAAAGAACAGAGAGAGCAAGGGAAGGAGGGGAAAGTTTGACTTACCAAATCTTTTTCCACTATAATGTGCATTTCTAGATATTGGGGCAATAGTTCTGAAAAAGTTTTTTCCTGAAAAGAGAATTTAGCAAATGTTGATATGCTTTGAATTTATTAAACACAGACAGTGACATGTAAAGAAGACAAAAGTTTTATATATATATATAAAATCCTCATGAGGTCTTAACCATAAAAATGAATTGCAAATCAGAAAATTAACTTGAAAACAAATTCCAAGTTTAAAGGAATCCCAGTGAGCCTGATAGAGTATGGTAGAAGTCTAGGTATTCACTGTTAATACTGAATAAGAGAAAGTGAGTAACCCCATAGCTCCAGACCATAGGCTCTGTGTCCCATTTGATACAATGTAATAATCCTTGATTGTGTCAAGTTAGTCAACTATAAATCATCAATTTATTACATCATCATTTAGTACTCCAATGGCAATTTTTACAATAGCTATATGTCTAACATGCTGAAAAACCATTTCACACATGGATATTTTAAAGGACCTACAATTTTTTCCTTGACCCAAGTGCACTGGTAACTAAATCTAAATGTAAGGAGGGAACAAAGATGGCATCTGTCATAAAACAGCTTTTTGTTGTTGCTGTTGTTTAGTCATTAAGTCATGTCTGACTCTGTGACTCCGCGGACTACAGCCCACCAGTCTTCTCTGTCCATTGAATTCTCCAGGCAAGAATACTGGAGTGGGTTGCTGTTTCCTTCTCGAGGAGATCTCCCTGACCCAGGGATCGAACTCGTGTCTCCTGCATTGGCAGGTGAACTCTTTACCACTGAGCCAACAGGGAAGCCCCACAAAATAGCATAGCTTACTATAAATAAACAAGCGAACAAAGGAACTGGATTCAACGGGTAGAGCCTAGGTTTATATTTTCACAGGGAAGTAAACCATGCATGCATCTTAAATGTGTATGTACTGAGATGTTTATTTCTTTTCTTGGTGTTCAAAATTAACTTAAAAAATATTTTTTATTTTGGTTGCTCTTACTGGGCCTGTATAAAAATATAAGTCACTGTTGACAGCCATGGCTTCTGAATTGCAGTCTGGTTGAATATAACTACAAATTATGTACACACCATAACCAATTTTCAGTGTTTCTACACAGCAGATTTCATATTTTAATAACAGTGTTTTTTTCCCCATTTGACTTTTCAAATTTATATTCTTATTTTCAAAAATAATAAAACTGTATCTTTAATACCTGTGTTTTAAAGTGAACTTATAGTACAATTCATCATAATGTCACATGTCATCTTCAGTAACTGAACTTCAAAATCCATTCATTTTAATGGGTTACTTTTATTCTCTTCTTTAAAATTTTTTGTTCAGGTTTTAAAAATAACTAATGAATCATAGAATATTACCAAAATAGATCACAGATCTCTTGTAATTCTCCCCGGTGGTTACATCTTACAAAATTACAGTACATTTTCAAAACTAGGGTATTCACCTGGTACAATGTGTATATATGTATCTCTACATCATTTTTTCATGTGTATGTTTATATAACCACAACTCCAATCAAGATACAAAACTATTTTGTTACCATGAAGATTTCCCTTCTTGTACCTCTTTAAAGTCAATTGAGATTATACAGTCTGAGGAAGAGAAAGAAATAAGAATGGAAAAAAATGAACAGAGCCTGCTCTTTTCCTGTGGGGCATTTTCAAGCACACCAACATGTATATAATGGAGGTAATAGGGAGGAGATAGATAAAAGGGCAAAAAGGATCTTCAAAGAACTCATGGCCAGAAAGTTCCTAAATCTCATGAAAAAATTAATTGAAGCATCCAAGAACTTTAATGAACTCCAAGTAGGATAAACTCAAAGGGATCCAATGAAAGACACATCATAAGAAAATTATCATGAGGCAAAGACAGAGACTCTTGAAAGAATCAACAAGGAAGGGACACATCGTGTACAAGGAATCCTCAATAAGATGACTAACGTCTGATTTTTCATCAGAGACCAAAAGATAGTGAGCTTAAATGTCCAAAGTGATGAAAGAAAAACACCTGTCAACTAAGAATGCTATATTCAGCCTACAAATTAAAAGTTTAATAATATACAAATGATATAGTATTTTATAAAGACATGTCCCAGTAGTATGTAAACCTATATATCAAAATATTAAAAGCAATTTTACCAGGGCACTCAGTGGTAACTAGTGTTTCTATATTCCTAATTTTATTCAATACTAAGCACTTTTGCTTGAATAAAAATGAAAAACAAGAAATATTACATAAGACAACATAAGACAATAAGTTTGAAGTACATTGTTGCATATTTCCATGTATTTTAGATGGAATATGGATGTTTTATTTACCCATGTAGAAAAAAGATGCCAATTGTTATATTGCTACTCAGCAGCTAAGTACTTCCTTTTCCTGCTTAACACAATCCTACAGAAGTAATTTTATAGTGTGCCATGACATCAGAATTGTCTCAGTTACCTGTGAGTTTAAATGGATTGTATAGGACTGATCTTTCTGCCAAATATTACTGTAATTTTCTGCGAACATTGGTTTATCTGGATGGTCATTTTTCACTTGATAAATTATGTGCTCAAATCTTGCTGAAGATTCCAAAGGCTCAATGCCATAGCTGATATTTTCAAACTGAAGGAATCCCCTGAATATTTAGAAAACAATGACATAAAAATCCTGCAAATAATCCCATCATCCTGCAAATGATTCCATCAGATTTATAATTCAAAATGCCATAAGAAATAAGCAACCATAGTGAGGAACATGTTTTAAAGTCACTCTCTTTCCCTACTTTTTTTTCAGCTATCACTAGTAACTGAGTAACCACATCTGCCTCAGTTTTTCTCACGTATTAAAGAGCTAAATATACTGAGAAGTATTTTGTTTTTTTCTGTATAGCAGTCACATTCATTCAAGGTGTATTAAGGCGACCCATGGAGTTGCAAAGTGTCGGACACGACTGAGCGACTGAACTGAACTGATTTGCTGGAAACCAAAGCATTTGCTGAGAATTCCAAGAATAAAAAGCTCCTGTTCTTACAGAGGTTAAAATAAGGGACAGTGGATATATAGAGTGGAGGTCTAAAAAGGCTGACACGTAGGAAAACTACATTCAGAAAATGTCAAGTTTCTGAGTCAAATTCTGGACATCAGGTGACGAAAAGCAAAGGGAAGGTGGGAAAGAGTCTTTTTGCTCTGCTCTAGGCCTGGATCTTCATCTGATAAACTCACTACCTTTTTCCTGCCATTTCAGTGATGAAAATCATCACCCCTGCCCTTTTACCTCCGAGGTACCTTCTCAGCTAGTAGTCTTACATCTGATACAAAGCACACGTACACTGAGAATTTACAACTTGCGCTTAGTTAAGTAACCATTTAATGTCCTTTTCCATAACTATTCCAGACAGCTGATACAAAGTACAATAATAACATCCAGGGAGATGTTCTAAAGGATTTGGGGCGGGGGGGGGGTGAGTGTGTTTGAATTTTTTTTAACTGCGTATGTCTCTTTCTCCTCAATATTTTGAACATATCTTCAGTTAGGATTCCCTTGAGTGATTCCACTTCAGTGGTTACTGCAAAGGCCCATTTATTAATATTTAAAAAGTAAGGCCACCATGAAGAAAACATTCCAATTGGAATTCTCCTTAAATATCCCAGATTTGTGTTTTGTACAAATTTTTTGTGTTTTGCACTAAGTTTTATTTCAAAGTATATCCTAACTTTTCATGTGTAAATAACCTCAAAGATTCTGTTGTGTGTTCCTTGCTTAGCCATGTCCGACTCTTTGTGACCCCATGGATTGCAGCTCACCAGACTCCTTTGTCCATGGAATTCTCCAGGCAAGACTACGAGAATTGGTTGCCATTCCCTTCTCAAGGGAATCTTCCCAACCCAGGGACTGAATGTGGGTCTCCTGCACTGCAGGCAGATTCTTTACTTTTTGAGCCACCAGGGGTGGGCTGTAGCCTGCCAGACTCCTCTGTCCATGGGATTTTTTTCAGGCAAGAATACTGGAGTGGGTTGCCATGCCCTCTTCCAGGGGATCTTCCAGACCCAGGGATCGAACCCACCTCTCCTGTGTCTCCTGCATTGCAGGCAGATTCTTTACCCACTGAGTCATGGGGAAGCCCCAAGATTCTGTTACCTGAGTCCAGAACAGATGCTGAGTGTCACGACTGAATTTGGGAAATCTGCAATGTATCCTAGATAATGACACTGCATCTGAAAAATAGTACAGTGAGGTCAATAAATAAATTATTTATGCATAAAATGTATTGGCAAAAGTTATAAATATTCAAAACATTAAAACAGTTAAAAGTAATAAGTTTGTGTATCATAAAGATTTATTAAAAGTGGTTTTCAAGGAAAATAAGTATTTGACACATTTCTTTATTTTATACCAACAAGGTGCCCAGATGTGTTCTCTGGATCTGGATTTCATCCCTATCATACATGGAATATGGAATAAAATATTTGTAAGAACCCACCAACATGGAACAAGCATATCCCAATGGTAACGATAAGCCCACTTCAATAAAGAAATGTGTGGTAATGAATGTCTAAGACATCTGGGTCTTACCTTAAAATATGAAGACTCAGAATGCAAGGATCCAGTTTCATTATATGTATAAAGCAAAAAGTTCTGGGATACAAATGAGCTAAGGGAAACAAAAACTAAAAGTGGTTGAGTCATGAATTTACTATGAACATAAGTGTTAAAGTAATAAAAATAAGAGTAAAATATTTAGGATTCATATAAAAATATTCTTTAATTAGAGTAATTTTAGCATGCTATCACAGTGTAAATTCACTGATCTGGCATCTCAGAGAGTTTAGGCTTTCTTAACACCGGAACAGACTTTGAATCCTCCATATCAGATATTTGTGTGTGTGCCTACAAATGTCTTCATTCAACAATATTTGCTGAGTGCCAACAATCTGATAGATCCAATTCAAGGCACTGGGGTACAGCAATATAGAAAAGACAAAACCAGGGTCTTCCTCACAGTGAGAGACACATACTGCTACGACGTTAGGCGATAATAAATTAGGCCTGAAGATTGGTTGCAAATGTAGACAGGATGGCAAGGAAAGGCCAAGTGATTTGATTACTGAAGACCTGAAAAACAAACCACTTGGATCTGCACAGATCTAAGAGGAAATGCAAATATCCTGAGGCAGAGATAGGTTTTGTGTCTACAAAGACCATCTAGAGGGCAAAGTGCCTGTGGTGAAGTGTGGAGAGAAGACAAGAGACAACAGTAAGAGGTGGTGTCCCAGAGATGAGAAGCCACCACTGGGAGATTCTGAGCAGGAAGGGAGCAGGGAGCAACATTTTAATATAATCAGACTGAATGTCATGTTGAGAACCTTCTGTAGGACAGATAAGCACAAACAAAGAGATCACCTAGGCTGCAATAGCTGGATGATAGGCTATTATCCAGTAAAGACATGATGGTAGCTTGAACTAGGATTGTAGCAGTGGTGGAGGTCCAATTGCTGAATGCATTTTTTAAAAATAATTATTTATTTTAATTGATTGATGATTACTTTAAAATATTGGTTTGATTTCTGTTGAATGTATTCTGAAGGTAGATCACATGGGATTTAGTAATTCATTGAATGTGGGGGAAAACAAAAGAAAAACATAAGACGTCAAGAGTGACTCTAACATTTTTGTTCTGAGAAACTGAAAGAGTAGACATAACACTTACTAAAATAACTGAGGAAAAGACAAATTTTGAAAAATGATCAGAAGTATATTTTAGACACATTAAATATGAGAATTACAGCAAACTCTTGGTTATTAAATAAGGAGTCAAATACATGAATGTGGCGTTCACTGAAGAGAAATAAGTAGAGATATAAGTTTGGGAGTAATCAATACACCCATAGGAGCAGATGAAAGAACCAGGTGATTGAGTATAGCTAGGAAAAAAGGGGGCTTTAAGAATAGCACCATGGAGTATTTCTAAGATGAGAGAGATGAGGTGGAATCAGAAAACAAACAAAACAAAATCTGAGAAAGACTGAGTACAATGATAAGAGACAAACCAAGAGACTTGCTGTGTCCTGGGAGCCAAATAAAACTGTTATAAGGAGGAGATGCTGCTCAGCTATACAAAATGCCACTGACTGGTCAAGAAAAATGAAGAATAAAAAGTAACTGGCATTTAGAAACATGAGGATCATTGATAATCTTACCAAAGAATATTTTTAAATGGAATTGTAGTGACCCTAAAGACCAACATGAGTTCAATGATCATGAGTTAGATGAGAATAGTCATGAATTAAGTAAGGAAAATTTTCTCCAGCCTTCTGTTCAGTTCAGTTCAGTTCAGTCACTCAGTCGTGTCTGACTCTTTGTGACCCCATGATTCATAGCACACCAGGCCTCCCTGTCCATCACCAACTCCCGGAGTTCACTCAAACTCAAGTCCATCTCGTTGTTGATGCCATCCAGCCATCTCATCCTCTGTCGTCCCCTTCTCCTCCTGCCCCCAATCCCTCCCAGCATCAGGGTCTTTTCTAATGAGTCAACTCTTCTCATGGGGTGGCCAAAGTATTGGAGTTTCAGATTCAGCATCAGTCCTTACAATGAACACCGAGGACTGATCTCCTTTAGGATGAACTGGCTGGATCTCCTTGCAGTCCAAGGGACTATCAAGAGTCTTCTCCAACACCACACTTTAAAAGCATCAATTATTTGGCGCTCAGCTTTCTTCACAGTCCAACTCTCACATTCATACATGACCACTGGAAAAACCATAGCCTTGACTAGACGGACCTTTGTTGACAAAGTAATGTCTCTGCTTTTTAATATGCTATCTATGTTGGTCGTAACTTTCCTTCCAAGGAGTAAGCGTCTTTTAATTTCATGGCTGCAATCACCATCTGCAGTGATTTTGGAGCCCAAAAAAATAGAGTCTGACACTGTTGCCACTGTTTCCCCATCTATTTTCCATGAAGTGATGGGACCAGGTGCCATGATCTTAGTTTTCTGAATGTTGAGCTTTAAGCCACCTTTCTCACTCTCCTCTCTCACTTTCATCAAAAGGCGTTTTAGTTCCTCTTCACTTTCTGTCAGCCTTACTCAACCACAAAAATGCAGGCAGACAAAATGCAGTTGTTAAAAATACGTATTTTCAAAGATGTAGGCACAGAAGATGCTATTTGAGTATATAAAATGTTGAAAAACACAGATTGAGAGAGAAAGTACATTACTCATTTTCCAGAGAAGTGGCTGATAACAGGGATTAAATGTGAAATGGTATGACGGGTCTCATGTGGAGAATGAAATGTTTTAAAACTGATTTATGGTTGAAAATTGTGATGTTATATTAAACTTACATAATTATGCACTTGAGAGTTTTATGATTATATGTATATACACATAATTTACCAAATAAAGTTAGTAAAAATAAATACATATATAATTAAAACCTCCACACAAAGTATGCCACTAGTTTAATTTTCTGCCTATAACCACATGATATATACACATTTGATTGCATATTGGATATACTTGATACATAACTTGCTGTTCTTGAGTTCATGGATTTAAATGCTTACTTATTTATGCATAGCTTTATTTGAAAATAACAAGCTGGAAAATAAAAATTCAAAGATCTCGTAGACTTAATATTCAGGAACTAATGAACCTGAAACTGAAAAACTAATTAAACAGCCTACACTTTGCCACATGTTTAAATTTAAATAGCATACAAAAACATTTTTTTAAAGCAAATTCTAGGCTTTAAGGCAAAATCATTTCTTACTGTTTTCTGAGATGCAGAGTGTATGGTTTTTTATCAATGGTAATGATATAAGTCACCTAAAAGTAAAGCAAATAAAGATAATTAAGTAATTAATTAGAAATCAGTAATTAATTAGAAATCAGAAATACATAAAATAAAAGAGTATTTTTCACTAAAGTAAAAAAAGACTCACACAATCCATTTTTAAAAAGCATATATCCTTCAGAATTTATTGTTCTAACTGGCATGAATTTAAAATTTTTTAATAAATTCAGGATGAGGGTGATAAATGTAGGGAATGGCTTTTGAAAGGAAGAGATGAAAGCTATATTTCGAATAAAAATAACTTTACTATGTATCAATACTAGATTTTACTCTTTATGTTTATAAAAAACATACTCATCCTTAGCCAGAATGAATGAGGCATGACTGTAGGCTTACATGCTACACAAAATACAACGAAACAATAACATGTTTATAAATACATAAATATACATTCTCAAACACTAGAGCCGCATGGCAATGCTTCACATATAAGCTAAAGACAGACCTGAGAGAAGGAAGCAAGGGAAGAATGCCGGGGCTCCAGCAATAAGAGCTGTGAGACTACAGGGACTAAGTGTAATGGTCCTCATCACCTTGATGGGAAGGGGCCCAGGAGCAGGAGATGCACACAGTACACATTATGGCAGGTTGCTTTTAAAGCATTATCCGGAGGGTGAGAGAGTGTCTAGTAAAACATGTTTTATATAAAAGAATGATACAGGCATGAAATCCAACCTTTGTCCTTTAACAAAATATGATCCTGAGAGGTACCTCCATCTACTGGGCCATATCCTATTGGTTGGAAGGAAGTCACAGGTTTTTCTCATACTCAGAGGTGGAGCTTCTTCAGTGGTCTGAACACTAGATGGTAGGAACCACTTTGTGAATTTAGGGTCTGTCCAACACCATGGGCAAAGAACAACTGGGGAGCTGAGGAATAAAACCCACAGCTCACATAGTGCTGGGAGACATTCAAGGTCTGATCAACCAGAGCAGAAAAATGTCACTGAACACACTCATGCCATTCAGTAAAGATCACAGAAGGGTCAAATTTTAGCGTTAAGGAGAAACTAACCTAGAAACTAGAGTCAAGGTTACTCTAGACATTCATCCTAAAGACACTGTGGTTTAGTCACTCAGTTGTGTCTGATTCTTTGCAAACCCATAGACTGTCCAGGCTTCTCTGTCCATGGGGTTTCCCAGGCAAGAATACTAGAACAGTTTGATATTCCCTTCTGGAGGGTATCTTCCCTACCCAGGTATCAAACCCGAGTCTTCTGCATCGCAAGCAGATTCTTTACCACTGAGCCACCAAGAAAGCCCCACAAAGGACATGACAAGCATGACATTTTCATTCTGGTTCATAGGTAACCTAACTGCCTGCCGAAACAAAGTATAGTACGTTTTAAAGGAAAATCACAAAGTTAAGCAATCAACCAAATACAATTAGCAGGGTTACTCCAATCAAAAATAAATATACCCAGGAACATGAAATAAGTGTGATGACAGGATAAGAGGCTCTGGTCTTATCTTCCTCCCACAGATATATCAAATATAAGCTCTACATGGGTCAACTGCCTCTGAGAGAAATCCAGAAAGTAGCAGAGTGGCTCCTCAATACTGAGTGACTGAGAAGATATCCACCACGCAAAAGGGCAGGAAAGGCGGAAACACATACATACCATGAAACCCAGCCCTGGCAAAATAACTTCCAATCAGGAGAGAAGCCCCGATTCTCAGTATCTCCCTCAGCACCAAAAGGTTTGGACCAGGAATCCAGCAGCACAACTTTTCTTTTTTTTTTTAACTTTTTATTTTACATTGGAGTATAGCCAATTAGGGCTCCCCTGGTGGTTCAGATGGCAAAGAATGTGCCTGCAGTGCAGGAGACCCAGGTTTGATCCATGGGTCAGGAAGATCCCTTAGAAAAGGCAATGGCAATCAACTCCAGGATTCTCGCCTGGGAAATCCCACGGACAGAGGAGCCTGGCAGGCTACAACCCATGGGGTTGCAAAGAGTCAGACACAACGAACAACAAAGCAGGCATAGCTGATTAACTATGTTGTGATAGTTTCAGGGGTACATCAAAGGGAGTCAGACTTATATATACATGTATGCATTCTCCCCCAAACTCACCAGCCACCCAAGTTGCCACAGAACATTAAGCAGAGTTCCATGTGCTATACAGTAGGTCCTTGTTGGTTATCCATTTTAAATATAGCAGAGTGTATATACCCATCCCAAACTCCCTAACTATCCCTTCCCCTCATCCTTATCCCTGACAACCGTACAATCATTCTCTAAGTCTGTGAGTCTCTTTCTGTTTTGTAAGTTCATTGGTATCATTTCTTTTTAGATTCCCCATATAAGGGGTGTTATGTGATATTTCTTCTCTGTCTGACTTACTTCTCTCAGTATGACAATTTCTAGATCCACTCAGCAGCACACCTTTTAAGGCTGCCACCCAAGGGACTGGCTTCCAAGTAGCCTAGTTCAGACAGCCACTGGGACTTGCCATCCATGAGTCTCCCATTAAACAAAGAAGTAGATTTTCATGTGTCCATGAGCACGTCTCATGGTTATTCCCAGCTGCATTACAGATGGGTAAGGCCAAGGCACCCAGCTCTCACTTTATTCCTGGAAGGGGTTTGACTACTCACATTCTCAGTTGCAGCTTGAAGGTCCAGCTTTGAATCAGACTACACATGTATGCTATTAGGGATACCGCCAGGATACTGCTATCAGAGATACTACCAGGATACTGCTATTAGGGATACCAGCCTGAAAGGGCTGGTGGGCGCTTCCCCTGACCACCCTCCCCCACTCTTTGCTCAATTCAACAAGAAAACCAAGTCTCCAGTTTCTTCCTAATAGAAGCTTCTCTATACAATAAGAATCTCAATTTTTTTTTTAATTGAAGTATACTGATGTCCCTGGTGGCTCAGCAGTAAAGAATCCACCTGCAATGCAGGAGACCCGGGTTTGATCCCTGGGTTGGGAAGATCACCTGAAGTAGGAAATGGTAACCCACTCTAATATTCTTGCCTGGAGAATCCCATGGACTGAGGAGCCTACAGGTGGGCAAGTCCATGGGGTCGCAAAGACTCAGACACGACTGAGTGACTCACACACACACACACACACACATATTAATGTATAATGTTATATGTTATGGAGGTATAATATAGCGATTCACAATTTTTAAAGTCTATATTCCATTTCTACTTAAAAAATGTTGGTGATGCAACCTCAACTTTTAAGGCTGTCACCTGAAGGTTTGGATCCCATATCACCCAACTCTGAAATCTGACAAGGTCCACATTTATAGGTTCCCAGAGTCTTCTTAAGAGAAAATGTTTATACAGAAATGCAAGCACATCCCAGGACTATCTTTCTGGGCTCAAGAAAGACGGGACAGGAAAAAACATAAAAGTCCCAACTTCTCCATGGAAAGGGTCTGAGTGCATACTTCCCAGGCTGCTGCCTGGGGGCTGAGCTAAATAGCTTGTACTTGGCAGCTGACTGGGTACATAATTAGTCGTCATCTGGGAACTTGAACAGATGTGAGGGCAATCCCTGTGCTTTCTTGCTCTGATTCACGCCTCTGATCATTATAAAACTAACTCTCCAGCTTCTCCCTCAATGGAATTTGTCCACGCATACTGCCCCACCTTATACAGACGCACTGGAGGAACTGGCTAGAAAATCACCTAGTTACGGGATAGCTTCCCTTAAGCAGAGAAAACAAAAGGTGTGAAAGAAGTAACATTGTCTCTGCAGATGACATGATCACATGTTCGGAAAACCCTGAAGACAATGTCAAAAAACTGTCAGAATTAATACATGAATCTGGAAAAGTCTTAAGACACAAGGCCAAAATACAAAAATTAGTGTTGTTTATATACACTTAACAATGAACTATTAGAAAGAAGAAGAGGAAACCAACCCCATTTACAATAAGAACAAAAGAATAAAATATTTAAGGATAAATGTAACCAAGGAGGTGAAAAACATACACACTCAAAACTAAAAACCAATCATGAATAAAATTAGAGAAGACACAGATAAACAGATAATCTATGTCTACAAGTTGAAGGGAATAATACTTTTCCATACCACTCAAAGTGATCTATAGATTCAATGCATCCTTATCAAAATTCCAATGTCATTTTTCACAGAAATAGAGAAAACAATCCTAAAGCAGAACATTAATAGCTATAACAATCTTGAAAAAGAAAAGCAAAGCCAGAGACATCACACTCCATGATTTCAAACAATATTACAAGGCTGTAGTAAGACTCATCAAAAAAAAAAAATAGAAAGAGGGCCTAAATTAATAAAATCAGAAATGAAAAAGAAGTTATAACTGACACCACAGAAATATAGATGACCATAAGAGACGACTGGTGTTGCTTAGTCGCTAAGTCATGTCAATCTCTTTGGCTCCTCAGTCCACAGGATTTCCTAGGTGAGAGTACTGGAGTGGGTTGTCATCTCCTTCTCCAGAGGATCTTCCTGACCCAGGGATCAAACACATGTCTCCTGCATTGGCAGGCAAGTTCTTTACCCCTAAGCCACCAGGGAAGATCATAAGAGACTATTAACAGTTACAAGTCAAGAAAATTTATCCTACATGAAATGGATAAATTCTTAGAAAGGTACAAATCCCAAGGTTGAACCAGGAAAAAATTGAAAATATGAACAGACCAATTGCCAGTAATGAAACATACATAGATTTCAAAACATGTAGACAGACACTGCACATTTCACATCCTGCATCATTGCTTTATACTTTGAGATAACTGAAGTAAACAACTTGAAGTTTAAAGTGATCATGCAATGACAATATACATACAAATGCAAGCAAATCAGAAAAAAAGAAAGTTTATATGCAAATATTTTTCAACAGTAGCTAGTTTACTCTTAATGGAAAAAGATTCATAAATTAAAGTTGTAACTCCATGTCCTAAAACTGATAACTCTGACCACCTTAATATCTGTAATCCTCTTTCTCATATATATATATGAAAATATATATAAAATATCTCAAAAGGTTAATGTGAGAATTAATGAGAATAGTATATGAAAAAAACTTCTCTAAAGGAAATTATTTTATTATGATTTTCAAGTACAATTTCATACTTTTAGTTTTTACTATAATTTTCAGTAGTAGAACATAATCATGTTCTACTGTATGTCAATACTGTATGTCAAAACAGAGTTATTGGAGTCTTAATATTTTTTTTTTACTTACTCATTTCAAAAATTATTCCTTCAAACTGAAAGCATTTTCTCAGGCTTTCTACATATTGACCCCATTTCTTAACCATGTGGAAATCTAAACCCCTATATTATGATTTCTAGTTTCTGTTCTGCAATCTGAAACAGTATAACTATGCCAATTTGAAGTATTTTAATCAGGAAAATATTCAAGATGGAATGTCTTCAATTTAATTAGTTTTTAGTAGCAGTGCACACTTTTCAAATTCTTTTTCTAATTAGTATTTACTGACATGTTTTCATTGTCAGTAAATGTGAGCTATCACTTTAAACTTCAAATTGTTTACTTCAATTATTTAAACATTATCAAATTTCAGGCAAATGTGATATTTTTAGTTTTCCTTTTCTTTGGCCATTATTTCCAATAAATCTGATGTGTCTGAGTCAGATTCACAGGTCTAAATCTTGCTCAAAACCATTTTTTCTGTCACTTTAACTGTGGCCATTAATAATGTTTTCTTTCCATAAATTGCAGTCTGAACCATTGTCACACTTAATTAATGTTGTTTATTTCTACCAGTATGATTCATCAATAGTATTTAATATTTCTTGAAAATTGTGAACAAGTGCTTCAGAAGAGCCTGAGAGATGAAGGGAAGGGCCCAGGAATTAACAATAAAAACATGTGGCTTTGCAAGTGAATACAAATCAGTATGATCTGATTCAATGCAAAGGTAAATAAAAATAGTCTTAAACTTTTAAATTATAAAACTGATACTCTTTAACTTTTTATTTGATATTGCAGCATAGCCAATTAACAATGTTGTGAGAGTTTCACGATGGACAGCAAAGGGACTCAGTCATATATATACACCTGTATCCATTCTCCCCCAAACTCCCCTCCCATCCAGGTCGCCACAAAATATTGAGCAGAGTTTCCTGTGCCATACATACTGTAGGTCCTTGCTGGTTATCCATTTTAAATAGGGCAGTGTATACATGTCCATCCCACACTCCTGAATTATTCATTCACTCCATCTTTAAAAGTAATATTGTTGATCATTTACCTGCTTCTCCCAATCTTCACTCTCATTTGACCTTATCTTCTGTGGAACTGTGACATATAGGAACATTCCCTCAGAATCTGTAGTAAGAAAATGGGATTTTTTTTTTTTTTTTTTTTGGCAACAGTCCTCTAAGAGAAGCATGGATTCTTAAGCTTTAAGTCCATGGTGGGGTCTACAATTGTAAGTCAATTTATCTACGTGTGTCCAGCCTCCTTCTTGGTCCCCAGATTTCCACAGATTTTCAATGGCATACTGAAAATGGCTAGGAAACAAATGAACAGAGAACAGACAATGCTGCAGGACCATCCTATTGGTTTCCAGAACCACGTTGAAGCCTTCCCCTTGGGTCTCTGAGGAATAAAGCCAGGGCAGTACCGAACGTGGTTAAGTCCTCTGGCTACAGAGTGGGTGACCCAGAAAGACCTTCAGCTGCTGAGACAATGCATCCTTGGCTAACATCTTCCATCCCCTATCCTGGGCCGGGGGTGACTGGGGGTGGGAGGAAGGCACCATCAGAGAATCCCAGAAAGGGGCGGCAGGTAGCCTAGAGCTACAGAAATTGCTCCCCAGGAAGATCTCAGTTCTGCTCAGTACCCAGAAGGGGGGGAAGGAAGCCGAGGCTCCGCAGTCTTACCCGGGCTGGCGAGCAGCCCTCCAAGCGCAGCAAGCAGTGCGAGGAGTGGGAACATGGCTGGGTGGGGGGCGCAGGAACCAGAGCCAGGGGAGAGACCGTTGGGTATCCCTGAGGCTCGCGGGCAGAAGCCCTCCGGAGTACAGCATGCTGCCCCGAGCCCTGGGGGTGATGACCAGGGCCTCGAATCAGCTCTCAGCTGCACTGGCTCATCCTTGGGCATCCTGAGTGACTGGGCGCTCAGGGCCGGAAGAAGGAACCACAGACAAAAGCTTGCGCCTGCGCACAGCGGTCTGCGATGACAATATGGATATCCTTCCAACACTTCAGTAGAGATAAAGGCTCAAAGAAGCATGCGGTCCATGGGGTCGCAGAGTCAGACACGACTGAAGCGAATTAGCACGCACGCTCTTCTGGGGAAGTTCCCGGTAATTTCCATTCTCCATGTGACGGTTTTCTAACAAATTTTATTTGCTATGGTGGGAGAGAAAGAGGAAAGTAGCAATATTAACTTTTTTTTTCCTTACAAGAAAATTTCTTAAATCGTGCTACTGCCGACTTCATAATCTTTTTTAAAAAAAGTCTTTTCAAACACGGAAAAATCAAGAATATGGAACTTGACCCTGGATACGACAATAGAAAGCACTTTTCTTCAACTGTGTCCCTATTCTTAAATACAATGTTAGGTTATACTCTGCTGAGGAAAGGGAAAAGGAAACTTTGAAATGGAATCTAAGAGTGGTTTGTTAAAATTCCGTTTAGAACCATACAAAGGAAACTGTAGAAATGATACAGCCAGCAAGACAAACTCAGAGAGGAAAAGGGGCGCCAGGGCAAAAGACAACACAGAACCTTCTGACAAATATCTAAAACTGCTCGGGCTCAAAAGCTAACTCACCTTCTGCCCACCACTCATCCTCATCTTCCTTTATCCCAGGACACTCCACAGAAAGGATGTATTGTACCAACAACTACAAAAATAAAGTCTAATTAGGTCTAAAACTTGGACCTAGGAGGCAACAGTACTCCTGGGAAACTGATCCTGAGAAATTAGTTTTAAATAAGGCAGGACATGAATCATAATGGGTCCAAATAAGGTAGTGGCAAAGAGGGTGAGGGAAAGGTACTATAGAATCATCCTGATGTGTATGGTTTTTACCACAGAGTTCACCCACTTAAAGCACACAGGTGAATGACTGTAGGATTTTCAATATATTCAGAGATATGTGCAACCATCACCACAGTCAGTTTCTGCTCTTTCATCTCAAAAGCAAGGCCTCTACCCTTTAACTGTTACCATCCCCCACCCCAGTTTTTCATTCCCCTCTTTCCCACACCCCCCACCCCGCAAGCAGTTAATAATCACTATTCTTGGTCTTTCCAGATGTTCCTGTTCTGTATGTTCCATACAAATGCATAATATATGGTTTCTGTGACTGGCTTTATTCACAGAAACCATGAATAGAATAATGGTTTCAAGAGTCATCCACTTGTCGCATATCAGTGCTTCCTTCTTCTTTGTGGGTGAGTACTATCCCATTGTATGGATGGACCCCCTCTTGGGTATCCGTCATCAGCTAGCTGCTCATTTGGAAAAGGAAACTCTTGGCCTTTGTGATGAGCTCCCCCCATGTCTAGCCCAGGATCACTTTCCTAAACCACAAATAACACTTTGAAATGTGCAGAAGCACATCCGTTAAGAGAGACAACAAGTCTGGGTCCTTCAAAGGACAAGATATATTCTAGAACTCAATTTTCCATGAGGCCAGGGAAGTATCACCTGGAGATAGAATAGTTACCTATGACCAGAAACTCAGTTTAATTCCTTGAAGGTAGAATGAAGGCCAGGGACTCTCTGAGGGCCCTGGGCCTGTCCTGACCTACAACACTCAGTATCCTCTTAATCTCCCAAAGCTTGTAATGGGTAGCACATGAGAATCACAAGCTACTGGAGACAGTGGACCCAGGTGTCCTCTCTTGAGATGGGAGTGATTAGCAGGGCTGTGGGCATCTGAGCTCAGGCAGTCAGTGGCAGAGTGCATAATGGAATGTGTCTTTGGGATGGAACAACCTCCCAAGACCAAACCGAGAAAGCATGTTCCTAATCATAAATGAGAAACTTTAACCTTTATACCATGGCATATCAGACACCTGTCTTGGCTCATGATTACCTATGCAGATTCTTCTCTTTCAACATCCATAAATTTTCAAATAAATTTTTAAATATATTAAGAGCACACATTTAGGAACAGAGAGCTCTGAGTTAACTTTGTGGCCTTGCTGTCTCTCTGCTCTATAAGAAATGAACATCACCTAAGCACTGTTTCTTACACTCTATAGCCAAACTCTCAACTCACTCTGTTGGTTCACATTCAAAATGTATTCCTAAGACCATCTTTACTATCCCTGATATGAGGTAACATCCTTTGTCTCCTGGATCAGGCCTGGGGTTTTTTTCATTGGATCTTTCATGTGCTTGAAAAGCTCCTGCCTAGGTGAGTGTAGGGATAGCTCTGCCAGCTTGATGCCTGTGAGACAGGGGTGGTTTACAGCTGCAGTGGAGCTGTGAGTCTTAACCTGTGGGAAAGCCTGAATACCTGGCTTCTATTTTTGCTGAGAGAAGGGCAGTGGGATTAATGATGGGCTGTTTAAAATTTAAAATAAGAAACTTTTGACCTTGTGCCTGAGGCGTCTCTCTGGCTCCCAGTGTATGCCTGCATTCCTCTCTTGCTGCCCTGCATCCTTTGCATTTAAATTAAAGCCTTCTGTGAGTTGGGCTCTGTGATGTCAGGTGACTCCTTTCAAATATCTAAACTGCATAATTATTTGTACCTCCTCCAAGTCTTGGCTAACACATCACTTGCCCAACAGGGCTTACTCAGTCGGCCATATTTAAAATTGCACCCCAGTTCCTCCTTCTCTTATCTTTTCCATATAATGAGTTACCTTTCAGCACACTTTACAATCAACTTATAAAATATATTTATGGAATGAATGTGTCAAGCTATGGAGGCAAGTCCTTAATATAATCCTAAAATAGTGCTGGTAAGAAATGATTGTGAAAAATAGCAAAAAAATGTAAATGAAAGCATGATACTGAAGTTATGACTTAGAGCTGGGGAAAAAAACAAAAGACAAAACAAAACAGGGAGATGGAGAGCTCAGTGTATCACTGTAGGAGAAAATGGCTGAAGTTGTGTGGAGGTGAGGAGTGCAGGTGAAGACACCCAGCATGATGACGAAACTATGATTGTAGGACATGAGAATAAGACAGCCAAGGGCCAAAATCTTCACCTAAGATGTGGGCTTTTAATAACATGATCAGAGAAGAGGTGGAGATTGGTCTAGGCATAAATAAGACTACTTTACATTGAGGAAGTGAGTTATAAATGTTTTCTTCACTGGCAGAAAAGGAAATAGAGATCCATTGATTTCACTCTCCATCACAGTTATATATGGCAGGTAAGTAAAGAGATGAACTCACAATCTCATTCTTAGATGAGTTTCTCATTTTTTTCCTATACTCCCAGTGATAAGTCTAATATGTGAAATATCATGATTTCTTTACACATTTGAGTTAGAAATTTGAACAACATATACAGAAGCCTTCGATATCCCATACTATAATAAAGAATTGTTCTTCTGCCCTGCAGAGTGACTGCAGTTGGCATTTGCCTGGCATCTACTAGCTCCTCAAAAAATGTAAATTCCATTCCCCATCCCCAGTCTTATATCAGAAAATATGTGGAAAAATTGTGGAGTTTTTAAGAGTTTCAATCCTGGAGTCTGATTATCTTAAACTTGAACTCAAAAACTCCCTAACATTCTATATATGTGGGGAATAATTTACACTCTTTGTCTGTTTCCTTATATATAAAATAAGGAGAGCAATAACCAGGAAGTTAGTGAGTAATAATACAAGTGTTGGGAGAAAATTTGTGTAAACCTCTCAGTTAGAATCTTAAATCTATCGATCAAATGCATGATTGCTTACAAATATTTTAAGAACACATTTAAAATCTCTTTAAAGTCATTTCTTTTTACAAAAATGTTTGTTAATAAAACTGTGGCTAATGTGAGTAACATTAAATCTTTCCAGATAAATATAAAATAAAATTAAATCAAATACTTTGTTTTGATTTTTAATTTAGTATGTGACAGTAACAAATAGAAATTAAATGATTAAATATGGAAATAATTAACTGAGGTAATGTTAAAAGTATTTTTAAGTATTTAATGAATTATATGATATTGTCAATAACTTGATTCCTTTACTTCACCTTTCACTTGACTGGGTGCTATTACTACTGCTGACTTCTTATAAAGATCTGTATAAAAGAATTAGAATTATTTCTAAGGTTAGGAAATACTGTAATCTTAAAGTTACAAAAACCACAAAAACTAGATTTGTACTGGTTATTCAATTAATATGTAAAATATCCACTTTGCTTCCTATATTCCATTCATGGATCATATATTCTATTGTTTGGTTTTTTCCTAATGTTAGTCTAACTTTTACATATGTTAAGCATTTTTCAAATTTCAAACTTAAAATCTATCTATTACTTTTCTCTATTTTGTCTACTTGGAAAATAGGATAAAAATCTATGATAATGATATCTTTTTCATTTATCTATAGTAAATCATAGATTTATCTGTGATTTAAGTGATAAATCACATAAATAAATCATATCATTTATCTATGATAAATCATGATGTTTTTATCATTTATCATTTATCTGTCATTTATCATTTATCTATCCATATTTTTATCATTTATCAATTATCTATGATAATGCTTCTCCAAAGTTAAGCAGATAATTTACATATGAATTCTTAAGTTATCATAGCTTCAATTATATTATTTCTATAAAATAACTATGTAAATAGTTATTAGCTCACTTCTGTTAATGAGGTCTTTAAAGAGGCCTCTTTCATTTATGCTTAGTTACAAATTTCGGTATTTACACAGTCTCAATTTTTTTTTTGGCTCACATACACACTCAGTTCCTGTTGAAAGGAAATGTCATGGTATAAAAGCTCCTCCTAAATTCTTTG